GGTGTTTGGGCATAAAGCTCATGGAACTAAAATCGGACACAGAAACTCCCGAACACAGCTGGACTTCCATCATCTCCTGCATTTGGTTCTACCCCACTTAGAAAGGTACTGTTAGGTGGAAACGTTCCCACAAACAAGGAGAACAGGCTAAATACGTAACTTATGGATTCCGTTCGGTGTTTTATATACTTTTGTGCTCCTGAAAGAGACCGACCGTTAGCCCTGATTTCCTGGAACTGTTTTGGGCATAAGACCATGTGCACGGTCGGTCAAAAATGTGACTTTTCCAAACCTGTGAACCGAGTTTTAGATATGTTGCTCACCCAGATTGGTGCTATCAGGAGATGTGACTTTTATGGGTTTTTTGGTTCGGGGTATTTTCTTTTTTTTGTTATATTGTGTGTTTTTGTATCTGAGAGATAATTTAAATATATGTTTGTGTGCTCAGGTAATTATCTCCCAGGCACAGGGGAGGAGTGTGTGGAATGTTTGCTTGTAACTAGTTCCCTCTCAGGTCCAGAGGGGAATGCCCCTGGAATATGTTTAAGGAAACCCCATGAGAGCTATAATCTCTGCAGCACTTGGGATTCGGGAGACTACTAAGGGAAATACTCAGCCGCAGTGTAGCGGATCCGTTACAGTTACTATCTCTCTTTCTCTGGATTGTGATGTAATTTGAGAAATATTTAAATGAAATTTAAAAGAAAACAGAGCATTTCCTGAAATAAAGGTTAACAGAAGATATGTGTGATTTTAAGTGTCTTATTCAGTTATGTAAACTCCAGAGAAATTCAATTTTCCTTTAACTCTGCCAAGGCTAATTAACATTTTGCCGCGATGCATCAGAGCTGTTCTGGCAGCACGAGGGAGACCGACACATTATTAAGCAGGAGGTTTTAATGTTGTGGCTGATTAATGTATAATATAAAAATAATTAACAAACTCTTCTTCTGTGATTTTTCAGAGTGGATAATGCACATTTATCTGAGTTTGGGGATATTACGAGTTATGCGATTCACTTATCACTTCCCATGAAATCCCAGTTTTGTGATAGCCCTGTAACATACAAACATAGTTAACATTGTTTCCTGAATTAGAACATACGGCAACATTTAATGGAAGCTCCCTACAGCGCCACCTGCTGTTTAAAATCATTTTCTCCTCTAGCTTCTCTTAAACTGAAACAGTGATTAAAAGATGTTTTGGACCTAATTTAGGTATATGATCGATGGATTCCACCCACCGAACGCTCTTTATAAAGGTTTATTGCTAATAATAATAGTAATTTGACACCATTGATGTTGATTACTGACAAACTGTGAAACAAATTACATAAAATGTTTGTGACACAAATAGAACATGTCTATGGTGTACACACATCAAGCTCTTAATAACTAATAACTGTTGCAGTATGTCGAATTATTTATCCAATTTGAATAATTACCAATGTTATATTTGGAATGGCTCTGGATGAGAGCTCTAGATAAGAATTCTTATAAAATAAAAATTAACAAGCTCTCACTCCTCATTGGACAGCTAATCATCCCCCCTTATCTGGCACGATGGGGTTAACAGAGAGATCGAGAGCCTTCTTCAAAGTTATTGGCAGTGAATGTAAAGAAAATACATTTAATACTAAGAATGAGCATTTTAACATATTTGCCTGTAAAAAATGTTATATTTTTTTCAACAGTCACTATGGCTAAATTTCTCTTAGAAATTAGAATTTTACCTAACCAGCATGTGGGCACATAGAGAACACAGTATGTGTGTGTTTGTGTGTGTGTGTGTGTGTGTATGTTTTTTGTGTTTCACTGTGTCTTTAAGTGTTTGTGTTTGTGTGTGTGTGTGTGTGTATGTTTTTTGTGTTTCACTGTGTCTTTAAGTGCCACAGATGAACCCAGATAAACCTACTCTTGTTACAAGCCATGTGAGGTATTTCTGACAGGTCCCCCTTGCCTCTTGAAGAGCACTTCACTGTGTTTCCCCTTTCGCTAGAGGCAAGCCCCAAACACCATATTATATAATATTTTCATTGCATCTTGTAGATTGTAGTGTCTTACATTCTACTATTTAGGCTACTGATCAAGCACATATGGCTGGGAAACAACAGTGAAGGGTCTATGTGAAGGGCAGAAGGTTGGAGTCTATTTTTCCTCCACATACTGACTGTTCCCTTGACCCCTGGTGATCCATACCAGTAAAGTACACAAGGCCATAATAGGACATCATGATCACACTGGCATAACTTGCACATTTTCAATTCTGTTACACACTTCTGCGGAACCAGGGAACAGTGTGCAGAGCTGTGCACATGTTAATATACTCAGCACCTGGATAACCTGTAAACCAGACCAGGGGAAAAGCAGGAGATAGAGGGGACTAACTGATGTAAAATGTTGGAAGAGAAATTGGGGGTGAAAGAGACGTGTTTAGTATCTAAATGATTTGGGTATAGGGGAACCAGGGGTTAATTGCAGAGAACGGTGATGCAAATTACAGAGAAGCTGGGAGGTGACTAAATGGGGGTCTGTGATGGGAAGGGAGGGGGCTCATTTACAGTAGTATGAAGATGGAATTTGGATAAAATGGGGTTAACTGCAGCAAAATATGAGGATAAAATGTACGGTTGAAAGGGTTAAATTACAGTAAATGTGGTGATGCAAATAAGGAATTAGAAGAAATAAAAAATAAGGAATTAACCGTTGCAGGAATGTGGGGACTTATTTTGGATTAGCAGTGTATAAGTCTATTACAGAGCGGCACTAATCAGTGGTGTATTGGACTATTACATCTGCAATAATAATAATAATAAGAATAAGAATAATATCAGTGTATCACAGAGTATTATTATTATTGTCCCCATACTCCATAATATTCTAGTTGTTCCCATCCTTAATCCAGGCTCTCAATCCAACCCTGTAATGTGTGTTTGGTTGTGTATGCTACGGTGTGTTTGTGAGTGAGTGAGCGAGTGTATCATTGTGTGCTTACGTGTGTTTGCATGTTTATGTGTGTAACTGTGTGTTAATGCGTGTGTGCCACTGTACATTTGTGTGTGTTATATATTTATCTGTGACTGTGTCATTGTGGGTTTTTGTGTGTGTATCACTGTGTATGTTACTGTGTTTTTGTGTGTGACTATGTCATTGTGCCTGATTGTGATTTCTGCTCTGAACATGCCAATGGAAATTCAAACATGAGAAATATTCTGTATCTTTTTGGGGGGCAGTAAATTAAAGAGCAGATTGCAGACCTCGTGGTTTATGCAATGCTATGCCTTGCTGTCTACAGCTTCAGAGACCTAGAATTTAGCCTTGATGACTTGAGTAATGACTGGGTAATGGATTTGCATGTATTTCAGCAAGGGGCATAATAATGAGAATATGAATGAGGAAAAAGGAAACATGATTTTGTCTGGGTGAGGCTGAAAGTTGTCCCTTTAATGAGCATTACATAAATACAGGTCTAACAAGTTACATTAAATCATTGTTAAACCAGATCTTTCCAATTATGAAATCACACATGGACCATGCTGCTTCCGACATGTAAACTGTCAGAAATTTACTCCTCATCTGCCACTACAACACCTGCCAGCCTTGGAAACAATATCACTTGCCAGCCTTGGACACCATAAAACCTGCCAGCCATAGCTACAATAACACATGGTAGTCATAGACAGCATAACACCTGCAAGCCTTGACCACAATAATACCTGGTAGCCATGGCCACAAAAATACCTGCCAGCTTTGGCCACCACAACACATTACAGCCTTGGCCACCATGGCACATGTCAGCCTTGGCCACCATAATACCTGCCAACCTTGTCCACCATAACACCTGCCAGCCATAACCACCATAACACCTCCCAGAACTATTGCCACAATAACACCCACCAGCCATGGCTACCATACAACTTGCCAGCCTTGGCAACCATAACTCCTGCCAGCCTTGGCAACAATAACACCTGCCACCCATGGCCACCATAACACCTGCCAGAATTGGCAACAATAACACCTGCCAGCCTTCACCACCATTACACCTGCCAGCCTTGGCCACCATAAAACCTGACAGCCTTGGCAACCATTACACCTGCCAGCCATGTCACCATGGCACATGCCAGCCTTGGACAACATAACACCTCACAGCCCTCGCCACAATAACACCTCACAGCCATAGTCACAATAACACCTGCCAGCCATGGCCACCAGCAAACCTGTTAGCGATGGCCATCATAACACCTGTCAGCCATGACCACCATAACACCTTGTAGCCATAGCCATAATAACACCAGGCAGTCATGGCCACCATGGCAACTGCCAGCATGGAACACCATAACACCTGCCAGCCATGGACACCATAACACCAGCCATAGCTACAATGACACCTGCCAGCCATAGACAGCAAAATACCTGCAAGCCTTGGCCACAATAATACCTGGTTATCATGGTCACAAAAACATCTGCCAGCCTTGGCTAACATAACACTTACCAGCCATGGCCATTATAACACATAACAGCCTTGGCCACCACTGCACCTGTCAGCTTTGGACACCATAACACCATAACCACCATAACACCTGCCAGCCATGACCACCATAACACCTAACAGCCATAGCCAAAATAACACCTGCAAACCATGACCACCATAATACCTGGTTACCATAGCCACAATAACACCTGCCAGCAATGATCACATTACACTTGCCAGCCATGACTACAATAACGCATGCCAGCCATGGCCGCCATAACATCTGGGAGCAATGTCCACAATAACACCCACCAGCCTTTGTCACCATAACACCTGCCAGCCTTGGCCACCGCATGGTTACAATAACACCTTCCTGCCATATACACCATAACACCTTCCAGCCTTGGCAACTATAACACCCACCAGCCTTGGTAACAATAACACCAACAAGCCGTGGCCATCATGGCATCTTTGTCAACCTTGGCCACAGTTACACCTGCTAACTATGGTCACCATAACACCTGCCAGCCATGGCTACCATAATGCCTGCCAGCCTTGATTACAATAACACCAGCCAGCCATGGTCACCGTAACACCAACCAGCCTTGACCACCATGGCATCTGTCAGCTTTGGCCACATTAACACCTGTAAACCATGGCCACCATAACACTTGTCAGCCTTAATTACAATAACTTAACACCTGCTAGCCATGGCCACAATAACACCTGCCAGCTATGGCCACCATAACACTTTCCAGCCTTGACTCAGTGGTGCCCTCTCAACCTAAACTCATCACTAAGGTGCCAATTTATTATTTATATAGAACCTTCAGATTCTGTAGCTCTGTACAATGGGTGGACTAACAGACATGTAATTGTAACCAAACAGCTGGACATACAGGAACAGAGAGGTGAGCTTACATTCTAGAGGGAGTGGGGTATAGTGACACAAAGGGTAGAAGTAGGGGTATGAAGTAGAGGTACGAAGCAGGTTGTTAGAAAAGTATTCACTGATGGCTTAGTAGGTAATTTTTTGACAGTTGCAGGAGAGGAGTCATGGGGGGTGGGGGATAAAAACCTGCTCACCGTTTAATTGTTATGCTTTCTTGAAGAAGTGAGTTTTCAATAATTTTTTGAATGAGTGGAGACTGGGTGAATTTCTTACGGAGAAGGGAAGGGAGTTCCACAGAAGAGGTGTGTGACGAAAGTAACCTCATCACTGGCTTTTGGAGGGGCCTGTTTGCCAGCCTCCTACCCTATAATTATGGCCTTCTGGCAAACTGAACCTCATCAAGGGTTCTTGGAGGGGCCTGCTGGCCAGCCTATTGCCCCACGACTATGGACCCTGCAATATACCTTGCCCAATGCAATTTAAAAGGCTCTGTTCATGTGAAGTATGTACTTTGTACTCCAGACAGAGAGACCGACTGTTAGCCCTAATTCTCTGGAACTGTTTTGGGCATGGGGCCATGTGCACAGTGGGTCAAAAACAAGACTTCCAGGAATTTCCTGAACACCTGCTCTGATCCGGGTGATTTTTAGATATGTTGTTAGATCAGGGCTATATGGGGATATGTTGTGTTTTGGGGTACTTTCTGAACTTTGTGAAAATGTGGCCTGGAGATAATTGAGTTACTTACAGGACTTTACTCAATTATCTCCTAAGCAGAAGGGAGGGATTGTGTGCTGTACATGGGCATGTCACAGACTGTATGTTTGTTCTGGTTGGTTGGTTGATATTCTTTGTGTTCCTGTGCCCCATCAGGTCCAGGGGGTGTTCCTCTGGCTTGGAGAATTGTATAAAAGCCAACCTGAATCAAGATGATCTTGCACCTTCAAGAGGTTTCGGCTCATGTTTGAGGGATTGGAGAAATACACTTTGGGGGATTGCTATAATAACTATACTCCCCTGAGTATAATCACTGAGCTCTTGTAAGAGCTTGTTCCTGCTATGCTCTCTGGACTAAAAGAGGTCTACCCACTGGAAGCTGGATCCTGGTCATAGGTGTGTAAGAGAAGGCAAGATCCCAACCAAGGCTAGGCGATTATGCTCAGTAGTTATGTTGTTCCAGCACAGTGCTTATGGTGCTCGTTAGTACTGGGAAGCAGTGGTTGACAGAGGTACCCAGTCGGGGTGCAAGGCGGTTCGTCACAAGGTGCAGCCCTGTAAAAGTCTTGGAGGCGAGCGTTAGAGGTGGGAATATGGACAGAGGATATACGTAGGTCTTTGGCAGAGCATAAGGGCCTTGATGGGACATACTTATGTATTAGGCAGCAGAAAAATCAAGGAGATTTGCAGCAATTAAATTGTTGGATACTTTGGTCACATGCGTTTCGACAGAATGACCAGCGCGGAATCCAGACTGAAGGGGGTCAAGCAGAGAGTTGGTTTCGAGAAAGTCAGTCAGTCTGGTGTACACAACTCTCTCGAGGATCTTCAAGGCAAATGGCAGTAGCGAGATAGGGCGGTAGTTGGATGGGGAGTTGGGATCAAGGTTGGTCTTTTTTTTGAGAATAGGTAGGTTGGAGCAGCATTATGTAGGGACTTGTAAGCAAGCACCAGAATTTTAAATTGAACCCTATATCTAACTGGAAGCAAATGCAGGGACTGACAGAGTAGGGAGGCGTGTGAGGTTCGAGCGGACAGGAAAATGATCCTTGCCGCTGCATTCATTATAGATTGCATCTGGGAACATGTAAGACCACTGAGAAGAGTATTGCAATAGTCCAGGCGAGAGAGAACAAGAGCATGGACCAGTACCTTAGCCGCATCCGGGGTTAAATAGGGGCAGATGCGCGCTATGTTTTTGAGATGGAAGCACTGCTGTGCATAATAGCATGAACGGTACCCTATAATAATATCACTTCCTCCCAGCTATCAAAGGGACGCGTGTGAGAAGCATGACTATGATACCACCTGCCAACAAACTAATCAAGTTCAATCTCATCACTAAAAGCACAGGTCAGTGTGACGGCATATAACAATTTAACAATTTAACACGGACCCCACAGATTATTCTAACCTTTATTTCCCAAAATAAAGCACCTAGATCTCTGCTTGCATGGAGATCCAGATAAAGGCATTTAAAATCAGCATTTGGAAGTGTTTGTAAAAACATATTTTGTGCATCAGAAGAAATAAACCATTGCTTCTGCAATAAGTGTTTTCAAACGCATACTGAAAACTGGATGGCAACAGTCTGCAGTTCACATGCGGCCAGTTCATTCACGGATTTACTCATTTAACCCAGATAGCCATGCCATGGAGCCTATTCATGTAATAAAAGACTTTGGCTCCATGGCAATTGAACTGTGTGTGTAGTCTGAGCGCCATTCAGTAATAATGTGCGCTCAGACCTAAACTATCTGGGCATATGTTGCATGTCTGTATTTTATGTAATAAATGTAACCTTGTGTATTTTATTGTATTTGACTGTGCTTTTACTGCTATGTGCTTAATGGAGTTTTGCCTCTGTCCTTGGAGATAATTGGATTACTTCCCAATTATCTCCAGGATAGATAGCAGGGATTGTGATGTCATTATGGGAGTGTTTTACTGTGTATTACGTGTTTATTGATTGCTTTACAAAACCCTGTGGGTGGTACCCAGGCCCGGACTGGCCATCGGGCATACCGGGCAAATGCCCGGTGGGCCGCGATGGCCGTGGGGCCGAGGCCGGCAGGGGATCTCCCCGACCGGCCCCTGCAGGGCCAGCGCTACCCGAGCGCCGGCCCGGCTATGTGTCTCCGTGGGCCGGTGGGGAGATCACAGATCTCCCCACCGGCCCACAGACAGCGAAATGCGGCCGCCGGCTGGGGGAGGGAGGAGAGAGGACCCGGCGGAGCTCTAACAAGCAGCTCCGCCGGGTCCTCTCGCGGGATTCTGAGCGTTGCCGCGGCAACGCTCAGATCTCGCGAGAGTGAACTCTAACCTACAGGTTAGAGTTCACTCTCACCACTGGACCACCAGGGAAGGCAGCATGGCTCCCCACCCCCCAGGCAGAACGGATCTCCTCCTCCCCCTCCCAGGATAAAGGTAAGAAGGGAGGGGGGGGGGGATATATAAATATATATTTTATTAATAAAATAAATATTTAAATTTAAATAAAAAATACATTCACACCCCCATACACAGCACCCCCAGACACACACAGCACCCATACACAGCACCCCCAGACACACACAGCACCCACAGACACACACAGCACCCAGACACACACAACACCCAGACACAGCACAGACACACACAGCACACACACAGCACCCAGACACACACAGCACCCAGACACACACAACACCCAGACACAGCACCCCCCAGACACACACAGCACCCAGACACAGCACCCAGACACACACAGCACCCAGACACACACAGCACCCCAGACACACACAGCACCCAGACACACACAGCACCCCCAGACACACACAGCACCCCCAGACACACACAGCCCACCCAGACACACACAGTGCACCCAGACACACACAGCACCCAGACAGACACACACAGCACCCAGACAGACACACACAGCACCCCTGGGGGGGGGATATATATATATATATTTTTTTTTATTAATAAAATAAATATTTAAATTTAAATAAAAAATACATTCACACTCACACACACACAGCGCCCCCAGAGACACACAGCGCCCCCAGAGACACACAGCGCACCCAGACACACACAGCACCCAGACACACACAGCACCCCCAAACACACACAGCGCACCCCGACACACACACAGCACCCCCAGACACACACAGCACCCAAACTCACACTGCACCCCCAGACACACACACCCCCAGACACACACAGCACCCTCACTCACACTGCACCCCCAGACACACACTGCACCCTCACTCACACACACAGCACACTCCCACACATATACAGCACACACACATATATATATATATATATATATATACCCTCAGTGAGTTAACAGACAAAGAAAATTAGAAACCTAGAATGTGACAGCAGATAAAAACACCCTCACACACAGCACCCCTCTTACATACACACACTGCGCCCCTCACACATACAATAAGTCCAAATATATATATATATACATACATACACACACACACACACACACACACACACACACTACAGCACCCCTCACACTGCACCACTACACACATTACGCTCCAGATAACACTAGATCCCTTACCCTATATGCACTCTTAATCCTCTACACACACACACACACACTGGGTCCTTTACACAGTAGATCTCCTACACACACACACACTACATTCCTTGTCAGCAAACACATACAACATTCTCTAAACACACCCTCTCTGTAACCCCTACACACACTACGTCACCCATACACATACACTTCAGCCCGTATGCACTCTCTCGCTGCATCCCACACTCTTTACAGCCCCTAGCCACACATATTACACCACAAACACAAATTAAATTGACCTATTTATACAATACCACAATACACACACGCAATCCCACAAGCAGGCTCCAAACATATGCACCATGCACTTTCCTGGCCCTTTTGTCCTCTGGTATCCCACTTGTGGAGACACCAGAGACAATTTAAAAGCAAACACAGCGCAAGCATGTTATTAAATTTGCTTGCGCTGCGCAGAATAAATTCAGGGCCTTTTTCTAGTGCCAGAGCTCTTTAGCAGGGCTCTGCGCATTGAACCAACATGCTCACTTTGAGAGGGGGCGTGCTTGTCATTAGTGATGACAAAAAACACACTTTCTGGCCCCGCCCCCTTCTTAGGGGGCCGCTCTGATTGAAAAATGCCCGGGCCTAATTTTTTCCCCAGTCCGGCCCTGCTTGGGGATAACTAAGAAGCATGATTGGCTGAGGTACCCATTCCCGGGGTACCTGGCAGTCCAACACAGTATACATCTCCCATGATACTTTGCCAGCATTATGCCGGTAAGTGCATTCTGGGAGATGTAGTTCACAACATCTGGAGTGCCGAAAATTGCCTACGCCTGCAGTGACATCATTCCCAGAGGACAAACCATTGCAATTGGCTGGGGATCTTATTTGGTCCCATCTGTTCATAGAGGGGTGGATTAGAGGGGACCTTTCACCAGTATGTTTTTTGCACAAAGACGTCATGCACTTTAACATATAGGTAAACAGCAAACACTTCTGGTGTGCACTCTCTCTCCCTCTACTGAAATCAAATAAACAAAAAATTGCAAATTATGCTATATGGACCTTACTTTCTCAAACTGTGCCATCTGTATTTAGATAGCAGTGACTGTGAAACTTATTTGAATGCTGGAGCATAGAAAAGGCTCCTGCTGCTTCTCTGATAAAATATACACCTTGAACATAAGATTGATCTATCGGGCAGATTGGTGCAAATTTAATTTACTGCTTGTCATGTAAAAGTTGCATTTTTTTTCTAGCCTAAAAAAAAGAAAAAAGATAATTGGGGAAATTTTTTGATGATGTGGTTCTTTTAGTAAATTGGAAACAATGACCCTTGAAGGACCATAAGGATAGTGAATGTCAAGATAATTTATTATTGCAAAATTATCTTCTTCATCTTTCACTTATGGACTTGCAATTCCTTTCTAAGGTACTGATTATCGCAAGACCAAGGCACCATATAAGGAGCTGTTTAAGACTTTGAGAGGTGATACAGAGAGATTCACTTTATCTAAGAGAATTCTGTACAGTGATTTCATATTAACATGTACATTTATAAGTTAAAATCTTTTTTTTTTTTTGTTTACCTCTGTTTCTAGGAGAGCCAGTTTTTACGCCTGTCGGCTGGATAAACACCTGTATGTAATTGGGGGAAGGAATGAGACAGGTTATTTGTCAAGTGTGGAGTGCTACAATTTGGAAACCAATGAATGGCGTTATGTGTCCTCATTACCCCAACCTCTGGCAGCGCATGCAGGAGCAGTTCACAATGGCAAAATATACATATCCGGTATGTAAAGTAATACCAATTGGAGCTTTAAAAGAAGTGCTTTGATTGATTATGGGGGCACGAAGATAAAGAAATAACACGTGATCGAGACAAACAAAAAAAGAGAAATCTCAGAGTCCTGCATGGAGCAAATAAAAAGAGATATAATACCAGGGAGCATGAGAGCTAGATAGAGCGATGTCAAATAACAAAAATGTGCACATAAAGTTACATCCTTTGGGTGACGAAACACATTTAAATAAGTTACTTTAAACCCTTCATTCTCACTCTATCACACACAAATGCTCCCTTATATAGAAAATATATCCCCGATATACCCTCAAACTGTAAAAAACATGTGATCTTGATGGGTTTTCTCTACATTTGATAAAACCTTCCAAGCCATTTTTACACCAAAACCCTGAACATTAATTAAAAAGAATACAAAAGCTTACATGGAAAGGGTGGGGAGATAAAGTAATGAAATGAAAGATAATAAAAGTGGAAGGAAGGAGGTTGGAAGGACACGTTGAAAGAATAAGAAATGTGTGATGAGATGCATATTAGTCTCAATATTGATAGTAACAATTATGTAATGTACGATGACACTGTCATGTCAATACTTAGTACCTAAGCTTAACACATGTAGCTATATTATTTTATGAGGCTTCTATGCATATTGTTACTATGTATCTGTTATTATTACACTATAATGTAGTAGATTGATTATTTATACTACTAGTATCTTACGGTACCATTTCAACTGATTAGCTTTATAATAATTGTAGTGATGGAAATAAAATGTTTATTGTGAATTATTGGTTGTCAGAAGCACTTTGTAAGGAGATGTGTTTATCAATGTCACGTTGAGTTAAAGCAGTACAGGATGTAAAGATGTTTAAATGCTTAAGTGAATTTTTTGCCTACCCTTCAGGTGGCGTTCACAATGGAGAATATGTCCAGTGGTTATACTGTTACGACCCAGTTATGGATGTTTGGGCTCGAAAGCAAGATATGAACACGAAAAGAGCAATTCATGCCTTAGCGGTAATGAATGATCGTCTGTACGCAATCGGTGGAAACCATTTAAAAGGTCAGTTTTGTATATTTATTGCATTTTAAAACCAACTAAAATTAGGTTTTTACTTAAATTTTTGAATTTTTTTCTATGCAGTTTTTACTTTTTTAGATAAATAGTTTACATATATTATATACACATTTTAAATATTGAATTTAAATTGTTAGCTGTCTTGAGCTTGTCACGATTTCTTTGTGATAACAGCTTGTAAATGCATGAAGATTAGTCATGTGGAATAAATCCGCATTTTATGTTGTGTTTGGCAAATATTCAAACTGAAATAGCTTGTTTTCATCTACCTTTTTATAATAGGGGATTACTTAAATTTAAGATAGACTAAGAAGTTTGGAGATTTAAAATGTCATTTCAGTATGTATAACTATTGTTAAATGAACAATTTTAATATTCTGATTGACCAACACTGGAGATATTTTTTATAGAAAGGGCTAACTTACACTTTGGCATTTTACTGGATTTAAAGTAGAAATGATCAAAAAGAAGAAAATAAATTATTTAACAATTTTATTACATGATAAATTAATATTTTGCTTCAGGTTGGTCTCAGATTAGCTATGTAGGAGAGCAATTTTGGCGCAAAATGTTAAAATGAAAGCAAGTACAATAGGAACCTTGAGAGTTATACTGTTGGTTGTGCACAGTTTCTCTTGTAGCCCTGGGGCAGTTTTAAGTGATGGACCACATATACGGGTCTGGTCCATTAACATATTTGTTCAGACAGGAGAAGGGAAGACTAGCTAGTGTTTGCTGTCACAATCTATGTTTCCTTGACACACTTGGGAACTATCTGGCTTTGACATTGAGGCTGTAAGTCTGATAGCACACATCATCATTTTTGTATTAGTGGTATTCAACTTTTTGGTTTGACACTGTTCACAATGTGTTTTGCCTCTACAGTTTGGGGTTTTACTAGCCCAGACAGCTGATCTTCCCTTTTTTGGTTAGCCCTGCCTTATTTTCCCAGAAGGAGGAACAATGGAGGTTATACACACTGACTTGGTTAATTTTCACGGTATGGTCAGTGTGTGTTACTTAACATGTACAGTTAGTTCATTTGTCCATGTTTTATTTAACAGCAACAACGTAATGGTATAAACTGACATTTCAAAGGGAGTGAATTTATCAAGTAGGATATTCTATTCATGTGGTTATAACCTGCTGAGTACTGTAGTACTGTAGTTGGGCAATCTGGTACTGTACTGTTTGTTTACAGACACTTTTTGGAAATGTTGTACAGGTTTCTCTCATCTTGATGTAATGCTTGTGGAATGCTATGACCCAAAAGGAGATCAGTGGAATATTCTACAAACACCAATTTTGGAAGGTCGAAGTGGACCAGGGTGTGCCGTTTTAGATGATCGGTTTTATCTCGTTGGAGGCTATAGTTGGAGTATGGTAAGTAGATTTTAAAGAAGGTGCTTTTTGTTTTGTTATTAATTATAAAATAAATAATAACAAATAATAATTAAAGGGATACATCAGGCTGGAGCTGACACATCATTTTTGACATAGTACAATTTAACTTTTAGTGGCATTGTGTTATTTTTATATCATCCATTCAACATTCATTGATTTTTTTCCAGATATTGGTTACAAAAGCTCACAAATGTAAAATGTTTGGTCTGCATACATACTTCTTATCTTAACAATTAAAGCAGTACTGTTTCACTGTTGTACTCTTGAAGCTTGCACAAGAGTACCAAGCAGAGCCCTGTGGAAGATGAAGATTCCAAACAAACTTCTTGCACAAACAATCAGATGCTATAGGCATCTGTTGTGCTTTGCTCCAGAAGATAACTGTCCCCATTAGCCCTCATGAATAAAAGCTGATGGGAAATTGACAATGCATCAGGCAGAAGTTGTGTGAATCTCCACTTTTTGGTGCATTTTGCCAAACATTAGCTTGTCCTTAAGTCAGGATATTCTGCCCTTTATTTTATGATATCCTTTGAGGTAATTTAAATTTAAATAAAATTCCTTTGCGGCCTATTCATGTTTTTAGTAAAGGCGCTAAATGTAGAAAAAAATTCACATGACAGTGCTGCTTTAATATTACTAACATTTAGTTAAATAGTAATAAAGCGTGTGATTTTTTATTTGAATGCAAAGAAACAAACCATGATTTGCGTCAGGTTATTGAGTTCTGTTTTGAGATTATTAAATAAACTGTGCCAAAACACTTACTGCAGATCTGCCATTGACTCCAGAGTCTTCAGGGCAGCTTATTCAGCCCAGAACCCAGGCTATTCACATCCATCACATGGAAGCCTAACAGACAAACTAGGGACAGAGCCATTGACTAAAATAAAATCTTTCTCTGTAACAGCATGCAGTCCTCTGAGAAATAGATTACATTGCAAAATGTTATTTTAGATCCATCGGTTTACTTATAAAAGTGCTCATTGGGCAGCATTGTTAAACAGTGCTACATTTGTGTCCTTATCTTCCGTTAGCTACAGTTGTGCATACATATTGTCAGACCCGTGAAGATGGTATCATTGTAGATCTTTATAATGTTCTCTCTCATTCTAGGGAGCTTATAAGTCTTCAACTATTTGTTATAGTCCTGAGAAAGCCAGCTGGACAGAACTTGAAGGAGATGTGGCTGAACCCCTCGCAGGACCAGCCTGTGCAACCGTCATACTGCCGGCCTGCGTTCCGTACAACAAATAGCATCGAGACACTGTGGGACATTAAAACACTGCAAGGGTGTGACTTTTCTGTTGGGAATTATTTCTTACTTTCAAATGCTTTAAAAGCAAGAAAGAAACTGACATTCTAATGATTTAACACCAATTAAACTGGTGAAACTACTGAACTCCAACACGGTAATACATTTTACCGCTTTCTCGTGTTGATCACACAGACATTTTGTGTGAATTGAACAATGGCGCGAATGCAATTCACCTTCATGTAAAAGAGAAAGTCATGTGGCACATTGTAATCTGCATCACTGTTTGCCAAGTTCTACCCACCCAAGGTAGTCACAGAGACGTTCTTTTTTTTAATATCCTCCATTAATATTGTATTGGTTCCAATCCCTATGTCTGGGTAAATCTCACCTGATCTATGCAGATAGATTTAAAATAATATGAATATACACATTTCAAAAAGAAAAAAGTCATGTCATTCACAGCGATTGTTATCAAACTCATTTTAGTTAAAGTGATCCAGATTTTACTTCAACGGCAATATTTCAATCCTATACTCATGCCTCAAGTAAAGTTATTTTATGGGAGTAAAAATAATAAAGAATCACAGAGCAGAGAATTGCTAGTAAACACATAAATTATATTTTATTTGTTTAGCTCTTACCCCATGCCACAGGTAAAACTACATTGAAGGTAAAGTTGACAGTCATATATTGTAGTAAGCGTACAGGAATCTGCTGACTGCTAATATATTCCACAATTCCTAGTGTACATCCAAACGCCAGGCATTGTGGGATGCTGCACATAAGAAATACTGTGTATCCTTCATCCACTTAGTAGCCATCTAGGTGGAGGCAGAAGGAGGTCTCCAGGTAGGAATATCTGTGAATCTATACATTTCCTGGCTGCTGTAGATTTAATATGTATACTTAACGATAGCTGAACTTTCAGTATTTTGTGAATAGCAGGTCAACTTATAAAAGCCACTTTACTAGTTGTAATCCTTGCAAACAGGCTTTCATTTTGTTTTATTGTCTTTTTGTGATTCGAATGCTTCAATTTGAACTACAACGGTTACAGCTTTGGAGCATGGCCCAAATGAACGACAGCAAAGAGTCCTTATTAAAAGGGCTCCCTTTAATGGTACAATTTTTCATTTTATAGAAACTTAAATGTTATGGTGAAGGGCTAAACCCACCACTAGTGGCAGTCTTCCTTCGCCTGGGAATAAAATGTTGTTGACAGCAGCATTTGATGGGAGGAGCGCAGTGTTTGGCCACACATGAGTACCTCTAATTCATTGTTTTTCTATGAGAAGCAATGAATTGGAGGAAATCGTGATGAGATCATTAGACATGCTGATGTCTTCGAAGGAGGAACGTACGGATGTAGCAGTGGAATCCCAGCACAGGAAACAAGGCAAGTAAAATCTTTGAAACTTTATTTTATTTTTTGATCAGCAAAGGGGGGTGGACTGAAAGAAAGTTATAGTCCAGAAATAATGATTGTTATATTCTGGACTATAGGTTCCCTTTAAGAGTTCCGTTTAAGAATCCTTTGTGTTTTATAAAAATAACATGATCATGTGACTGCGTGTCTGTGGCAGACTCACCATGTGACTTGTCGGTGTCATTGATATATCTGGATCTTTGTAGAACTTGTTTACAGGGAGTGCAGAATTATTAGGCAAGTTGTATTTTTGAGGATTAATTTTATTATTGAACAACAACCATGTTCTCAATGAACCCAAAAAACTCATTAATATCAAAGCTGAATATTTTTGGAAGTAGTTTTTAGTTTGTTTTTAGTTATAGCTATGTTAGGGGGATATCTGTGTGTGCAGGTGACTATTACTGTGCATAATTATTAGGCAACTTAACAAAAAACAAATATATACCCATTTCAATTATTTATTATTAACAGTGAAACCAATATAACATCTCAACATTCACAAATATACATTTCTGACATTCAAAAACAAAACAAATCAGTGACCAATATAGCCACCTTTCTTTGCAAGGACACTCAAAAGCCTGCCATCCATGGATTCTGTCAGTGTTTTGATCTGTTCACCATCAACATTGCGTGCAGTAGCAACCACAGCCTCCCAGACACTGTTCAGAGAGGTGTACTGTTTTCCCTCCTTGTAAATCTCACATTTGATGATGGACCACAGGTTCTCAATGGGGTTCAGATCAGGTGAACAAGGAGGCCATGTCATTAGATTTTCTTCTTTTATACCCTTTCTTGCCAGCCACGCTGTGGAGTACTTGGACGCGTGTGATGGAGCATTGTCCTGTATGAAAATCATGTTTTTCTTGAAGGATGCAGACTTCTTCCTGTACCACTGCTTGAAGAAGGTGTCTTCCAGGAACTGGCAGTAGGACTGGGAGTTGAGCTTGACTCCATCCTCAACCCGAAAAGGCCCCACAAGCTCATCTTTGATGATACCAGCCCAAACCAGTACTCCACCTCCACCTTGCTGGCGTCTGAGTCGGACTGGAGCTCTGTGCCCTTTACCAATCCAGCCACGGGCCCATCCATCTGGCCCATCAAGACTCACTCTCATTTCATCAGTCCATAAAACCTTAGAAAAATCAGTCTTGAGATATTTCTTGGCCCAGTCTTGACGTTTCAGCTTGTGTGTCTTGTTCAGTGGTGGTCGTCTTTCAGCCTTTCTTACCTTGGCCATGTCTCTGAGTATTGCACACCTTGTGCTTTTGGGCACTCCAGTGATGTTGCAGCTCTGAAATATGGCCAAACTGGTGGCAAGTGGCATCGTGGCAGCTGCACGCTTGACTTTTCTCAGTTCATGGGCAGTTATTTTGCGCCTTGGTTTTTCCACACGCTTCTTGCGACCCTGTTGACTATTTTGAATGAAACGCTTGATTGTTCGATGATCACTCTTCAGAAGCTTTGCAATTTTAAGAGTGCTGCATCCCTCTGCAAGATATCTCACTATTTTTGACTTTTCTGAGCCTGTCAAGTCCTTCTTTTGACCCATTTTGCCAAAGGAAAGGAAGTTGCCTAATAATTATGCACACCTGATATAGGGTGTTGATGTCATTAGACCACACCCCTTCTCATTACAGAGATGCACATCACCTAATATGCTTAATTGGTAGTAGGCTTTCGAGCCTATACAGCTTGGAGTAAGACAACATGCATAAAGAGGATGATGTGGTCAAAATACTCATTTGCCTAATAATTCTGCACTCCCTGTATAGTCATACAATACCAGGAGCCAAACAGGATGTGTCTAATCAAAAAAATGTATGTTTGATTTCAGAATTAACACCGAATCTTAATACAACACACAATAGGTATTTCACAATAGTGAAGATCAGTGTTCACACTTATTATACACTTTATACGTACATAGAAAAATGTCTAGAAGTATGTGCAGAAATAAAAAAGACTTTGTAAATTGCCCTTAGCTTTGAAAAACCTATCTTTATAAAATCATATGGCTTTTTAATGGTTATAACTAGCACTTACTATTAACTAGGTATCGAAAGACACAGAACAGTGGCAGATACAAAACGTACTGTCAAAAATGTTGAGAATAAAATCATATACAGCAAAAAGACAGCCCTAAAGGCTATAGCCTTTAGATGTCTGCTAATACATCCTATTTTTCTGATTGAGACCCTATGATTTCGAACTTAAATATTGTTCTACTGGCATCTTCTCATATTAAGCAAAATTACATTATATGCATAAAAGTGCATAGGTTCCATAAATTTTGCAATTACCCAGCATATTCAGTTTTACCTACAGGACTCTCCAAATATTACAGGTTGAAGGAATAGTATAATTTAATAGGCAGACAGCCATGAAGTATTAATAGGTTCAACATCAGGATGTAATCGTAATGCTAGCCATGCATTTTAGCGAATCAACCTTTCTGGGCAGCTTTTGCCTTGGGTGCTGGAAGAATCTGATTAGAAATTATCTCATGAACACAGGATTTCTGCCACAGGTTCACTACAGGATGTAATCACCTACATAACAGACATTCTTAGTTACTTTTTTTTTATCTTTGTTAAAAGAAGGACCACTGTCTGCATGATTATATTGAGTAAGAGCACTATTATGCTTATTCTGTATGTTTTCACTTACTGGCCCCATGTCAAGGATTGTGGTTTGTGTTCTAATGCAAGCTCAAGAAATCTATTAAAGAGAAACAGTACCCCAGATTTACAAATATGCTTTCTGATATGCTTAGGATCTAAGCAGGCATCTTAATATCTTCTACTACCACCATGTCTAAAATTCATTCAGAAGGCTATTGTTATCATGCTGGGTGAGTGTCACGTGAAAGGTACAGACGTTGCAGTGCCCTAGTTCATGATCTTTATTTTCGTACAGGCAATGCTTGTCTGCCGGTTTCAGTTAAAGAAATCACAAATTACTCGAAGTCTCTTCGAACAGAATTTATATGTTTATAAGGTGACAACTGCTTTTTCAGCTCGGTGCAATCAAGAAATAACATACATTTGTGACATATTGAAACATACCAAGATTTAATATCTGGAAAGTCCTGCTGCTTAAACCATAAAAGGTATGACCCTAATACCCAATATATCTTCCTTCAAAGTTTTGGATTATTTACTAAGCTGTGAATTGTGGTGATCTGTGAACCAGAACACTAGGCTAAAATTGCCAAATTAGAGAGAGCTAAACTCCAGATAGGTTTAGTTAATCTTTTTGGCCTGAGTTGAACCATGGTTGTCTCCTTTTCTGTTGTTCCAGATTTTATCTTGAACGAGTTTGTTACTAACAGGATTATTCGCTATACTCCGAATCCATAGCAAACGTTTGTCAAAGGGTTTAAGCCAATTCCCTGCTCCATTCAATACAGTTAGTATTACGTGGTGTTAGATGCCAGACCATGACAGTGTTAATCCAGTTATTCCATTGATATTATTCATGGTCAGTCTTCATATAGTATTTATAAGATAACAGCTTTATTTTTACCATTTGATTGTCCAGAACAGTAGAAACATGTTGCTTTGCAATGCTGGGTCCACAAAGAAGAACTGAATATTGTGATTGTTTAAAAAACCCTTTTATTGCTACTGTAAAGTGCAATCTATGTTGTTTTTGTATTAAGTGGTGATAGGGGAAATTACTTCTTTTTTTTATCCCAAGGACTCCAATTTCCTTGTAAAATAAGACATTGGGTAAGATAGATTATTATTTTTTCTGTTGGAAGAAACATGCAAAAGCAATTTTCTCCAGCACAGAATGAGGCATCCCTGCTTAATATTAAAATTGGTGGAAGACTTTTCTTTTTGAACAATTTACGGCAGCTGTCACCTGACTTGTCTAATGAAATGTGCAATCTTCGGAATTCTAACTTTAAAAGGCTATTTGTTGTCCTTTGAATGGTTCGTTTTTTTACCATAGTAATTTAAAGCTTTCTATCTTTCAAGAAAGCATGACGAAGGAAGCAGTGTTATTGAACAAATCATAGAAAGGATGTAAATTTTGTACAGTATAAGAATGTATAAATTGAGCTTGCTTGTAGGAAGAAAACTTTAAATAAAACTTTATGTAACAATTCATCTCTTCGTGTAAGTCTTTTTTTTACATATGCAATGTGCACAGATTAATCTTTTTTAAAAATATGCAATGGAAATGAGTTGCACACATTTAAACGGTACATTTTTAAAGGGAGAATATCAGCAGTATAACAAATGTTTTAAGTGTATTTGTTTTGTTTTTATTAACAGCTTCTGTTAAAAAAAACAATATTTTCTGGGTCTAATTTTTTTGTTTGTGTGTGTGTTATTTTTTCCATTTACATTATGATAAATCCTGTGAAGCTCCCCACAATAATCTTACTTGCACAAATATTCTTTAATGACCGGCAGTTTATTGAAAGGTTCACCTTATTGATCACCATCCTACTTACTATGCCGTGAGATTGCAAAGAAACATATATAAATAAAATAAATACAGCAAAGCACTTGCTCCTCACATCGTATACATATGTTGAATGGCATGAAATCACTTAGCATAGTACTTTATACAGTCAAACCTAGTGCCTCGTGTAAAAGATAAATAATAAGGTTATTCACTAAATAAGCTGACATTCATAAATATGAGAATTTGGAATTTGGTCATTTTCACTGGCTATTGTCCATTCAAACAAAATCCGTTATTTAATGAATAACCTAATTGGATTTGGCTAGAATGCTGTAAGGGGGACATAGATAACCAACAACACTGACCTCAATACACTTGTATACCCATAGAAGGGAACCAACACACATAATCACAAAATATTGGTTGTACAATATCTACATTCAAACATTGGTATTATGCCAAGAAAAGGGATTGGGTCCCCTTTATCATGCTGAATCTGCTCCAGCATAAAAGTATTTCGATTTAGGCTTTTCCAAACCTCAAAGGAACAGTATATGGTCAGGAATGCAATTGTGTATTCCTGAACCTATAGTATTAAAAACACTATTTAGATTGCCAGCCCCCCTTAAATCCTACCTCGCGCAGCGCTGGCTGCGCCCAAGTTACGCCTCCTTAGCTGAGATCATCAGACTTGACGATCTCAGCCAATCACAATGCTTTCCCATAGGCCGTGCTGCATCAATCCGCCGCGCTCCTCCAATCAGCATCTCCTCTATAAGGAACATGCAGAGCATGAAGACGCTGAACGTTGTTTAAGAAGCACCTCCAGTGGCTGTCTGAGTGACAGCCACTGGAGGTGTTCCTAAAGACCGCTGAAAGACCACATACCAACTTCTCTGAAAGGCAGTATTTACATGAAAATGCCTGCAGAGACAGGCTATAGACACCAGAATAACTACATTAAGCTGTTCTTCTGGTGACTATAGTGTCCCTTTAAGTGTATTATTTACATTGTAGATGAGCTAGCTCTGCTTTATACTAATCTCTTCTGCAATTAATAGGCCTGTTTTCTGTGAGGAATGGAGTGCAGAGACTTAGTCATATTTTAAAGTATATAAGACACCTTGGTTCACAGGTTAAAGATAAACAAAGGGATACACGACATGGGTTTGTCCCATATTATTTTCATTAAATTAAAATGTTTATCAATGTATCTAAAACATAAAATGAGGAAAGCCCCATGATAAGACATGATGCTTAATTAGATGCTCGCACATTGTGCTTAATTAGAAGGTTATAATTATGCACCATTGAGGTGCAAAACCAATCCAGTCTGATGCTTCTACTTCCCTTGGACATATTGATGTATTGAAAAAAATAAATTAAAAGTCCATTAACCTTTTCTGTTATCTTCATATTCACCTATTCTTTTCTAGACAGCCTCGAAAGTAACCTTGGTGGCAAAAAAATAAAAGTAGGTTTAATGTCAACACCTTGTGTTAGTAAGCCATGTTAACGATCTGTGCCATTTTACTTTAATCTTCCTGAATAAAAAATTGTTTCCTGAAAGAAAAATGAATAGAATTAAGCACCAAATCTAAAGATGGAAAGGTAATTGGACCCATCTGAAAATCAAATCTCGCTGAATAATGTTCACCACATATTATCTCCACAGGCCCACACAAAGTGACTTGCATTATTTGGGTATTGTACCGGCTGATGTTTCAATTAAACCTGTGTACAGAGGATTCAATAGACACTCAAGATGTGTATTCATTAAACCACAAATTGTAGTGGATTAAAACCTGAGTTTCAAAATTTGGGCAAAAAATGCATGCTGTGTCTTATGTTGAGTTGGAGATTTTTCCCAAATCATCTATTATTGTCTAAATGTTGCTATTCAGTTTTAAATTTTTTGTTCACTAAAGACCAACTTATAGTGAAATGAAAACCCAGTTTCACAATTTAGGTTAAAAATAGCCAACCCATGACTGAATCCGAGCTGGAGAATTTTTCCTAATCAGCTGTTGTTGCTTAAACTTTGTAAATCGGTTTCCAATTCATTACTACCCTGTGAATAAGCCCCTGATTGTTCCTTGTGGCCGTAAAGATTATATTTCAAAACGAAAATGACCATTTAGTGAATAAAACCCTAAACGTTCCATTGTTTCTTTTGGTTGTAATGGGTGTATTTCTTTAAAGAATACTCACTAGTTTACGGCTACAATAAGGATTCTGCTAATCTTCCACGGAGATGCTGAACTGCGGGAGCGAGACTTATTTCTTGGACCTTGTCAGATGTATTCTGTGCGTGTCACTGTTCCACACCAATTACATATTTCAGAGGAGGCTTTCATGCAAGTCTTTGGACCCTTATGCATAAGCCATTTCAGATGAAACTAAAATTAAAATCTGACTGACGGGAATCTCAGTAATCCTGAAAATGGAAACTAAAATAGTTTACAGAAATGGGAAAAAAAGGACTTGTTTTAAAATTACTTATGCAGGATTAATCCCCTCCTCCCTGGTTGAATGAATATGCCATACTTTGCTTAATAAAGCTTACATGAATTGAAAAGTAAACTCTGCTAACTTCTGGTATTCTTATCTCAGTCCTTCACCGTTGCACAAAGCACTGAACACACTTACAAGAGGTAAATAAAAAAGGTTTCTATTCTTTTACTAACTGCTATTGATCGCCATTTTATACAGCTCTATGATTAACCATTATGAATTTTGTGGCACCATTGCGAAATACTATATATAATTAAGGGTTAATCCAAGGGCTCTCACATGGAATGGCTTAAGCACAAAATGGCATTAAAATAGTTTTAACACAGTATCTCACTTGCTGCATCTCAAGAAAAATATACAATTAAGTATATATTTGTGTGTATGTATATGTGTGTTTGTATACTTACATATATATAATTTTATATATATATATATATATATATATATATATATATATATATATATATATAGATAGGCAGAAAATGGCCAGCACTCACGGTTTCAGGTAAAAGTTAAAATTCAGAAATTTATTAGAACATCTTTAAAAATGTAGCAGCTCGACGTTTCAGTCCTCCTCCGGGACTTTCATCAGGAATACTAACCACATACATATCAATAAATCGTTTAAATACCGGGCAGATAATTGGAAAAAGTCATTAAAAAGTAAACTTACCCCAGCTGTGCACCCATCACCGACTATCGCTCGCGTCCCCAAACACAGAGTGCGCATGCGCGTGCGTACCCCACCACGTGATCACGTACCGTCCGTTGCCATGGGAGCCGGATACACACACCAGTCCGGTCACCCTGGCAACCTAAAAACGGTAACCATATATTGAAAACTTTATTAGTATGTGCAAGTGAACATGAACACCATATTCAGTGTATTGAGCTGATCAGAGGATCCATATTATAAAGCCATAAATCCATACATCATATATATTATATATATCAACACCTATAAATTTTAAATATAAAGTCAGATCTTTTACTGACAGTAATAAAGGTGATATGTGCAAAACATGCAAGTAAAGAAAGGACAGAGTGATCCAATAATGTGAACGTTATATTGAATTTTAAAGTGTCAGAATATAGTAATAAAGTGCTAAAGATTGGGCTTCAAAATTGAAGCAAAGTGCCAATATAGGTATAAAAATAATGGTGAAAATATAGTGTGAACTTATTAGAAATTACACAGATAAGATAGCCAAGGTTAAAACTATCAGGACAGGAGCCCATGGGTAAGCAAAGAAATTGTCCCCGACAATGTTAAAAACACATAACCATAAAGTACACAAACACTAATGTTAAAAACAATGATGATGAAAAAAATATATAGATTAATTATTAAAATTGTTACAAGGCATTTATATAAATGAGTGATATGAAATCATTTCATTCAGTCCTCTAGGGGCTATAGTATCCAGGGTATAGATCCAGAATGTCTCTCTGTTCAAAAGGAGTTTTCCTCTATCCCCCCCACGTTTCAGTGGTGGTATATGGTCAATTGCTAAAAATTTAAGAGCTGAGAGTGGGTGTTGAAAGGCAAGAAAGTGTTTTGCCACCGGTTGGTCAGATGTCCCATCACGATATGCCACCCTTATGCTCGATCTATGTCCCCTAATTCTTTCACACAGGGGTGTTTCAGTTTTACCAATGTATGAGAGTCCACAAGGGCAGGACAACTTATACACCACATATGGGGTCTTGCAGGTAATGGTGTGTCGTATCTGAAAAACCTTTTTCTTATGTGGATGTTGAAAGGTGCGAGACGGTGTCATGTGGCCACAGGTGACACAGCCCAAGCAACGAATGCTACCCCTATTTTGTATTTCAATGTTTTTTGCTTCGTAGCTTCTTGTCGGGTCCGTATAAAAAATATATATAAAAATGTATATATATCTACTTATATCCCCTAAAATTTATATATACTTAGTCAACAGAATGGACTAAAAAAAAATAGAATCAGGTCTCTGTTGGCAGAAAGTGTAGTAGAATAAATATGACTGGTGTAATGGATTTATTTAAGATTTCATGAAAAGAAAGAAGAATCCCAAGGAACCGTTTAATGGCAGAAATACGGTCTACGGTTAGTGTCTGTGTGTGACATACTGGGTTAGAGTGAAACAAAGTCTACATCAGAACACATATTTGAAGAATCAGTACCTGCTCTGGAATAGTC